AATTGCTTTGTTTCAGCTAAATAAGTAGGTGTAACCTGTTGGGTTGGCAATTTCATTCCAGGAAACTTGATTTTTGCCTGCAGTTCAGGAGTGTGAGCTTCCCTAAGCCTTAGTACTCAATCATGTATTCGTACTGTGTGCCAGTGAATGCCTCTTTCAGTGGCAGCTGAGATTATCATATGTAAGATTCAAAACCTACAAAGCACTTTGAAAGTGATTTAGGATGAAGGTGTGAGAGATGTAGCTCTTGTTCCGCTGTGCTGAGCAGGCTGGTGCTTTCTTATGGGCTTATGCAAATGTAGGCAGTGCTAACCTTTCTGTCTCTGTTTTTTTAAATTGCATCTTTGTTTGCTACTACTACAAGTTCATGGTTAAAAATACCAAATTCTATGACTTTCTTAAGAATTTATTTGAGGATACTAGCTTGTGTCACATTCTGAAAACAGACAGATTTGGAAAGCTACAGGAATTGTACTGTTGGTCTTCAAAAAGAAACTTCGTGTTTCTTTGTGTAGATTATTTCTAATGCCATTTTTGCGGGTGTTAGTGGGAAGTAAGTTGTGCATGTTTAGCTTTGTCAGTTTTTAGATGTTGACTTTGAAGCAGTAGCTTAGGTAAAATGGTATGTAGTATTTGATATTAATGCTCTGCAGAATCATTAGTGCTTTGATGCAGTTGGTTTGGGTTTAAAGAAAAAAATTATCTTGGAGCTGGAAAGCCTGAGTACATCATCAGGGACTCTAAAACAAGTGTGTGTTTTAACCTTTGTCCTCTTTGGATTTGTTGTAAATGTATATTTGGATACATGCAGGCACACAGATGTGCACACAGATGCACACACTGCAAACTTCTGCCTACATTTTTGCTGCTGTCTGTGCTTATTTTTTTGTGGATGATAGGTCTTTAAAAGTATGGCCGGTTATAGGAATTAAAGCCTTGTAGTTGATGTGGTGTTCTTAGTACGATGAAATTTTTATGTCCGAGGAATAGGTTTTATATAAGCAGCAAAATTTATTCTGGATCTCTTTAAGTTTCGTATATTCTTTACTGTTTAGTTTTGATTTCTCCTATGAACTGTTACCAAATCACACAGAAATTCTGCACTGCAGGTCTGTTCTCAGTTATTTTCAAACTTTTTCCTCTTAACTTTGGGAACAGAACTTTTTTTTTTAGCTCTCTTGTGCTGTGCAGTACTACATTTGGGCAACAGTATGCTTCATAGAGATTTCCAGAACAC